AGCCCACTGTGGGCAGCACTATCCCTAGGCAGAAGGTTGCATAAGAAAGAAAACTAGCTGGGGAGCAGTGGAGTACATTTTAATCCTAGCACCTGGGAGGCAGAGGCAGGTGGATCTCTGTGAGTTTGAGGCCAGCCAGGTCTACAGAGTGAGTTCCGGGACAGCCAGGGCTACACAGAGAAACCTTGTCTCAAAAAAAAAAAAAGAAAAAGAAAGAAAAAGAAAAAAAAAGAAAAGAAAAGAAAACTAAGAGCCCAGAGAAATGACCTAGCAATCAGCACTAGTTGTGCTAGGCATGGTGCCGCATGCACGTAATCCCTGCCCTTGGGTGACAAGACGCAGGTGGCGCTCTTGTGAGTTCAAGGTGAGCCAGTGCAAGTTCCAGGTCAGCCAGAACTGCATAGGAAGATCCTATCTTTAAAAAAGTCCTAGTGGTTCTTCTAGAGGACCCAAATTTGGTTCTTAGCATCCGTACAGGGTGATTCCAGGGGAATGGCTGTCCTCTTCAGGGATCCGTAGACAGCAGACACACATACATAAGTAAGTGTGAAAACAGTGGAGGAGCACTGGCCAAGCACAAGTGAGGGAGTGAGCCCCCAGGCAGTGTTCCTCCATTGTTTCCATCTGCTCAGGTTCCTGTCCTGACTTTCCTCAACAATGGACCACAGTTTCCCTTTGTTTAGTTATTTACATTGTTTTGAAATGGTCTCACTCTGTAGCTTCAACAGCCCTCAAACTCCAGGCAATCCTCTGGCCTCGGCCTCCTCAACACTGGGACTACAAACACATGCTACAATACACACGAGCACCTTTTCTTAAGTTTCTTCATAGGTGACAGTATCTTTTGATCAGGGCATGAGGAAAAGCCCTAAGATAACATTTCAAAAGCAGAAGAGCATGGCAAATATCACCGTGGGGAAGGTACCAGCTTCAGAGCCTGAGAATGTGAGTTCCATCCCTGGCACCCGCATGCTGGAATGACAAAATGACACAGTAGTCTCTCATCCTCACAGATGCCTGCAGCGCGTGTGCACCCACATACACACACACCCAGTATGCGGCTCAGAGGGTGTTGAGGGCTCACTACCATATGTAACTTCAGGTCCAGGGGACCGACGCCCTTTCTGCCCCCCTAAGGTGTGCATGCGTGCACATACACATAATTAAAAAACTTTAAACTAAAAGTAAAAATTTAAAACAAGAAAAAATACAGGCAAGAAACGGTGCAAAAAGAAAAGGGGATAGGGGAGGCTCCTGTAATAAACTGGAAGGTGGCCGGTTTCTGTATTTCAGCAATGTAGGTGTGCTGAAGGTGGGCAGGCCTGACTGATGACTACCTGACTACCATACAAGCCATCAGAAAGGCTGCAGGTGGCGGCATACTTGCAATCTCAGTGCTCCAGTGAGGAGACTCAGGCAGACGTGAAAACCACTTGGAAGCTTAAGAGTAGTGAACATGCACATAACAAGATGGAAGGAGAGAACTCGGCCCCCAACACACACGCGCGCGCACACACACGCGCGCGCACACACACACACGCACACGTAAGATTTATTGTCGAAAGTATGTATATAAAAAAAAAAAAACTAAGACTGGAAATGTGCCCACAATCTTAGAACTAAAGAAGAGAAAGCAGAAGAACTAGAAATTCAAGATCGTTCTCAATACAAAATGAGTTTGAGGGCTGCCTGGGTTACACGAGACCCTGAACTAACTAACCTTAGGCCAGGCACTTGAATATTTGCCTTCACTCACTAACACCTACTAAGCACTAGGCATCCACAGGACATGAGCCTTGCTCTCACTTAATAGCCCATGAGACGGAGACCTGGACGCACTCAGAAGTTATTAAAACAGCATTCATTGCTACAATAAAGCTACAAGGATGGAGTTTGTAAAATTAAGGGAAGGCAAGCTGGGGAAAACTAGCTGGGGAAGACATGAAGGAAGAACAGGAAGGGAGAGCTATATCTTAAATGTTCCTCTACCCTCAGAAGCAACCATAGATAAAGAAACTTTCCCAAGATCACAACTATTGAGTACCTTAACCAGGTTTTAAAATGAAAGGTTCCATTTTGTTTTTGTAGATGGAATCTCACTATATAGTCCTGGCTGGTCTGCTACATAGACCAGGCTGGCCCTGAACTCACAGAAATCCACTAGTCTTGCCTCCAGAGCACTGGGATTAGTGGACTGATTGCAGCAACACACCTATAATTCCAGCACCTGGGAGGCAGACTCAGGTGGATCTGGCTTGGTGAGGCCAGCCTGACCTACAGAGGCCAGCCCAGCCTACACAGAGAAACCCTGGGGCCTGGGGGTGTTGCACTACCACACCCTGCTCAAAGTGGGTATGGATGACTCCAAAGTTCATACTTTCCCCAGGGTGATGCTGTCTCTTGACAATAACACTTACTTTGCTTTGAAAGTTAGAGGGAAATGTTAAGTCTATGCATCAGAAGTAGACCTGTTTCTGATCAGGACCTTCATTTGACACGTGCCACCCGCAAACTACTTCATCTTCACGGACCCCATAGATCTGGTATACTAATATAATCTGCTCACTCCAGCCATATCCTGTAGTAGAACACCCCCGGGGGGCACTCCTGAAGATTCTGGGGAAAGGGAGCTATCACTCTGTGGTACCTCAACTAAAACAAAGAACTTCCTGGCAAATAGGATTTTCTTGGTTTTCATGCTTGTGATTGAACACCAGGGCCTGCGACATGGTGGGAACACACTCTAGGGCCAAGCTATACCTCAAGTATAGCTTTACTCTTGGCAAAGTTTTGCAAACTGTGGTTTTTCAGCATAGAAAACCTATAAAAAAAAATAAATAAGTAAAAAGACTAACATTGGTTCAGGGTGACATTTTCACTGATTAGGGCAACATTTTCACAGAGAAAATTAGAGCAATTACAGAATGAAGAAGGAAAAGGTTGTGCTTCCACTTCTGAAGGGACTTCACACTCAGCCCTTCATCTGAGAGATTTTTCCCTCAAGAGGCCTGTCCTGTGTTCCTCCAGCATCTACTTCCTCTCCTCAGCTCTTCCATCCCTCGGAATGGCTGGCTTAAAGGAGGCTGTTACAGTAGATCTGCTGTGAATTACAGCAACTGAACAGTCATAAAAAATCAAATTTGGCGAGCTTCCTTTTCTGCCACATTCTTGTGATTTTTTTCCCCCCATGCTGGTTAGAGAACAAGAGGCTGGATCTTTTTTTAAGCCTAAAACTCACCATAGTCAGATTACTGGTCATTTAATCCTTTGCTCAGCCATCTTTAAGATAGAAGAATAAATAAATAGAGTGTAGCCAGAGGTTACGACCTTTTACCTTCACCTCAACTTTAACTGGGGAAAGGGGGAAGCTAAGAGCTGCTTCCTTACAGCTAATGACAAGTTGGCTATAACAAAATCTGGCTATACAATCCAGACTAACACACACTCAGACAACCACACACGACAAGTCTCTGCACAAAAAATATACATATGTATACATACATACATACGAATAGGGTGGGGGCATTTAGGGTGGCAGGAAAATAATGTGAACTTAAAAACATCACTCCCTGTGACTAGCTTACAGATGTACTGATTTGGAAAAACAAAGAAAATATAATTCCTCAAATATCTGGCCCATTTCTTCTTCTCTAGTAACAAAACACAGCAACTACTTATAGTAAGACCCTGACCTACACAGTGGCGTGTAACAGTAATCCTTATACCTGAGAGGCAACAACATCACCCCAAGTTTGGGGGTCAATCTGTTCTACATTGTACGTCCCAGGCTAGTCATAGCTACACAGCGAGAACCTGTCTCAAAAGACAAAACAGAACAAACAAAAACCCGGGAAGAACCTATAGTACAAGATGTGCAGCAGTACTCGACAAATACCACATGTTCTCCAAGAAGCAACATCAGTTTGTTGAAGCTTTGAGGTACTTCATTAAATTAACAAAGTAAAGGTACAATAAAATTGACTGTAATAATACCAACCGATTATTTGAGGCAACAGGCACTGAATAAATCAAAACATCACATCGCTAATAACACAGGATTCATTGTGAGTTTATATTTTGGAATTGTCTGGCAGTTATATTTACAACATAATTATATACATGGCTTGTATAGCCTAGTGAATTTCCTCATTGACCGTGAACTACCACAAAATGTTTTATTATTAGATTATTGCTAGTCACGTTTTCTCATCCACCTTTGTAAGTAACGTTCCTTCTGAGCTGCAGTTTCTAGATTGCTCTGCGTTGTACTATTGAAACCCACCGTTCAAAATGTTCTTTTCCCTCATCGTGACTGAGGCAAGGGAGTGGTACACTACACAGAACTTTTATATAATAAAAGTATTGCATGTCTCCGACCCTTCTTAATACTGAGCACCCATTCTGGTAAATGACAAAGGCAAAAACCAATCGCTAGGCAGGATCTTAATGACTTAGCCAATAAGAACATGGGGGTGGGGTTAGACTAAGCTCCCGGTGACTTCCCCGCACCCCAGATACCCAGCTTGTGGGAGACCGGACAGGAATTGGGCTACGATGATCTCGTTACCTCCTGTTGTGGCTGTTGTCCTCCTCGTTCTCGCAATCGCTGCAGTGCTCATGGCCGTTTCCATTCCCTTCCATCATCAGTGGCAGCGAAGGTGCCGGCAGCTTCACTGCTGTCTCACTCTCATCCGCCATCTTGAGTTGCGAGAGCCGGACTCCGCGCCCCGCTACATGGAGGGCTCCTATTGGACAGGGGAAATACGCGCTGTCTTCTGGGTTTTGTAGTTTGTGTGAAGAAATCTGCCACTAAGGGTGGCTTGTTCTCAAGAAACTGTACCGATGTGGACTACAAAACCCAGAAATCATGAAGGGACGCTGCCTTGGGGGGAGCGGGCAGCAATTCCAGAAGCCCCTAGGTTCAGCCGCGCTCTGAGACGAAGGGAGCTATACGCCTGGCAGGGTAGTCGCGGGGCATGCTGGGAGTTGCAGTTCCATGTTGAATTAGAGTTTCACCAGTGAAGGGCTTGCAAAGTCCAAGGTTTGCAGCGCACCCTTGGTAATCACCGGGCCACAGGTGAGCCGTTATCGGCTACCGTTAAGAACCGTTACCATTCCTGGGTAAGTGAAAGACACCGAGGTCCATGGCTACGATTTTGCAGGAGCTCAGATGCCCTCACAGAGGGCTTTCCTACCAGAAGCCAGGTTTGCTCTCAGCTGCCTTCCCTACTCCAGCCTTTAGGCTTGGCAAGCCTGGGTCTTTGGAAATCTAAAACCCGGAGGCAGTGGATTGAGGAGTGTGGAACACTGACCCTGGGCCAAAAGACTTGATTGCTTGCAAGCGAGACTTACCATTTTTTTGGTTTCTAGTTTTGCACTGAGCTCTTCGTCACATTGTCTCTTTGATTCCCCACTAGAACCTTCCATTAGCATGTCTTTTTTTTTTTTTTAAGGTTATAATAATTACATCATTTCCCCACTTCCCCTTTCCTTTCTCTAACCCCTCCTATATATAACCCCCACTTTGCTCTCAAATTCATGGCCTCTTTTTCTTTAGTTGTTGGTGCGTGTGCGTGTGTGTGTGTGTGTGTGTGTGTGTGTGGTTTCCTAAATATATAAATACAGCCCGGTCAGTACGCATAATGTTGTATGATTTCAGGGCTGATGTGCCTGGGAAGAACTATTTCTTCCCCCAATTTTAGCCTTCCTTAATTGCCCGAAGTTCTTAGTCTAAGGTCGAGGCCTTGAGAGCTCCCCTACCCCCAACATGAGTCTTTAACGAGCACTTACACACCAGGCTCTGGGGGAAGGCTTTTTGTACATGAATTCATATCATTTTAACAAGCTTAGAATGTGTATGCCGTTATTATTCCTTTTTCACAGATGAAAAGACTGTTCCAGAAAAGTTGGTACATTGTTTGTAGGTGGCAAAATCTGTCTATAAATCTGTATCTACCTACTCTATTCCCTCTGTAATTCTTTACCGTCACACCAGTCACAGTGTTGGATCCAGGCAACTGCCAAGGAAAAATCAATTATAGGAAGGTAATTGCGGGATCTATCTTAGAACTGCCTGAATGCTTCAGTCCCTCTGATCTTTGTCCTGTAACTTAACTAGCTAATCTAATCATAATCCTGAGAAGATAACCCAAAGACAAGGGCTTAGAGACTTCCTATTTGTGTTGAGTATGGTGGGTGGTGAGAAACTAGTTCTTACCATCAGAGAGCTGCATGGCCAAAAAAGGGAAATGACCTTTGCCTTTGCAAAACTGAACAAGGGAAGGAACAATTCCCCTCTGGCTCACAGAAAATGTATAAAAACCACAGAGCTAAATACAGCCAACTCCTCTTTTTGGTTTTTTTGAGACAGGGTTTCTCTGTGTAGCCCTGGCTGTCCTGGAACTCACTCTGTAGACCAGGCTAGCCTCAAACTCAGAAATCTGCCTGCCTCTGCCTCCCAAGTGCTGGGATTAAAGGCGTGCACCACCACTGCCCGGCGAGCAGCCAACTCCTCTTACTTGAGGGCAGGCCCAGAGAAGTAAATAGACTCCAGAGATGCAAACCGTCCTCGGTCATCTCTGTGTGACTTTGGGAAGCAGTCAAAACTGCCCACTTGGGCTCAGCGGTCATCTATGCTCATCTCTTCAGGACCAAGACTACTCTTTTAACACAGTGCCATATTAGCATTAGGGCTAAGTGGTAGAGCACATGCCTACCATGTGTAAGGGCCTGTGTTCACTATGCACTGCTACATCCAGCATATTCCACTTATTTCTGTGTGCATGTGTACATGCTTGCACTTTGACTCACTGAGCCACCTCACTGTCTGGAGGTTAACTCTTCTATTGTCTCCTTTAACTTAGATGCTCTTGTAAAGTAGACAGGAGAGGGGGGGCTTGAAGGAAACAGTACATGCCCCAAACCTCCGTGATGCTCAGTTGTAAAGCTTAAATGAGATCCCACATCTATTCTGAGCCCCAGGCCTGTGTTGTTGGCTTTTGCACAGACATGTTTTATGATCGAGGAAGAATGAAGATGGAGGTTTCTGTGGGCCCTGCCATTCTGGAGTTCACAGCTTAAGTACAGCATTTTGCCTTCCCAGCTGTGATGGCATGTTCCTGTAACCCCAGGACTGTAGGCAGAGAAGGAGGAAGATAGTAAGTTTGAGGCCACCCTGAATTCCATAGTACTCTTCTGGCCTCTGTGGATATCAACATACATGTGCACAAACCCACACACAGATATATAAACATACATGTAATTAAAAATAATAAAATACAATCTTTTAAAGAAGATTTCACAGCTAAGCCAGGATCACAAGTTTGAGGTCAGCATAGGCTACCTAATGAAACTTTTTCTCAACAACAAAAACAGCCAGTACTGATAAATGATCACATTTTATTTATTGGGTTGGGGACAGGATGACAACAGTCCCTGCAATGAAACCCAGGCCCTTAGTCTGGGGAAAGGGATCCTGGAGGAAATGACAGTTGAGCTGAGTTTTCATAAGAGAAGCACAGCCAGCAGGGCAGTGGAGATGCCCTTTAACCCCATGTATTAGCCAGGGTTCTAGAGTCACAGAACTTATGGAAAGTCTCTATATTAAGGGAATTTATTGTAATGACTTACAGTCTGTAGTCCAACTAACCCAACAACGGGCATCTGTGTACGGGAAGTCCAAGGATCTAGTAGTCGCTCAGTCCCACAAGGCTAGGTTTTTTCTTCATCTGGTCTTCTGTAGAAGTAGGTTCCAACAGTTGTGCTGGCAGACGAAGAAGAGTGAGCCTTCCTTCTTCCAATGTCCTTAAGGTAGGTCTCAAGCAGAAGGTGTGTCCCAGATTAAACTGTACCACCACGCCTAGATCCGGAACTTGCTTGTCCCAGACTGACCTTGAACTCAGAGATCTCCTTGCCTCAGTCTCCTGGAATTAAAAGCGTATATTACCTTACCAGGGCCTAAGCTTTTCATGGCCACTATGCCTCAAGATCTCTATGCCAACATCCAGGTCAGAAACTTGTGTCTTCCAGCTTCAAGATCTGGATCACAGGTGAGCCCTCCAATTCTGGATTGTAGAGAAATTCTGTCTCAAAAAGCAAAACAAACAAACAAACCTCCAGCATACCTATTAGGGTAGATGTTCTAGGCAGGATAGTGCTTAATTTCACTTTCTGTGTTACATGTTTTGACGGAGACTGCATGTATGTATATGTGCAGACGCACACACCCATAAATGTCCATAGAGAGGCCAGAGAAGATGTCATTCTCTGTTGCTTTCCACTTTAGGCCCTTGAGAAAAGCTTTCTCCCTGAACCTGGAGCATGTTCCCTGTTGTCAGCTAGATGGGCTGGCCAGAGAGAGCATGGGATCTAAGGGTTCTGAAGTTACAGGCACATATTGCGGTAGCCAGATTTTATGTGGATGCTGTGGAATTCTAATTCAGGTCCCCAAGACTGCACAGCAGATACCCTTTTGTTGTTGTTGTTGTCGTCGTCATCATCATCATCATTGTTGCTGTTGTTCAAGATAGGGTCTTAACTTTGGAGTTCTGGCTGTCCTGGGTCTTGCTTTATAAACCAGACTGGCCTAGAACTCAGAGATCTCAGTTTCTGCTTCCAGCTGCAGGGATTAAAGGCATGGCCACCATGCCGAGCACAGCAAATATATTTTTTTTCCCCACTGAACTGTAACCCTATCCCAGCATGGTGCTTTTTCACTATCATAAGGAACTGATAAAGCTGTAGGTTGAAGGGTGAGGAACATATTGCAAGTCAAGACCGGAAACTAGGTTAGTGGTACAGGCCTGTCATCCCATCTGCTGGGGGGTGGGGGGGGGACCATAATAGATCAATGCCAGCCTGCCAACTTAGTGAGACCTTGTGTAAAAATAACCAATACTACTCAACTAGAGAAAGCTCAGTGGTAGGGAATTTGTCTAGCATGCCTGAGATCATGGGTTCAACTCTTAAGTATTATGGGGGAGGAGAGAAAGAGAGAGAGAGAGAGAGAGAGAGAGAGAGAGAGGGAGAGAGAGAGGTAACAAAGATAATATTGAAAAGTAGGCAAGAGTTAGGCTAAAGAGAGGTAGCATATGGACTTTATCCTAAAGACTTGGAAACCAGTGATGGAGTTTTAGCTGGAGAGAGATAGGATTGTATTTTTTGTTACCAAAATATCATATTCGAAGGTCTGGGGGTATAGTTTTAGTTGGTAGGATACTTGCCAACAATCCACAAAGCCTTAAATTCAATTCCCAGCACTGTATAATCCAGGTAAGATATTAACTGAGATTCTAGAACTAAGGACGTAGTAGGATCAGAAAGTCAAGATCACATTTTGCTACATAAAGAGTTCCAGGCTGGCTTGGGCTGCATGAGACTCTGTCTCTTATTAATTTTTTTTGGTGTTTTGAGACAGAGTCTGTATACACCTGCCTGTCCTAGAACTTGAAGTATAGACTAAGCTGGCCTTGAACTCACAAAGATCCATTTGCCTCTACCACGTGAGTGCTGAGATTTAAGATCTGTGTCACCATGCCCAGCTGAGGCTCTGTCTTACAAAAGATATGTTCACACTGTACAGCTGATTAGTATGTAACCTTCGGGTAGAGAGTCTCTTCCCTCCGAAGGGCAAGGCTGATGATCTGGGTGTGAAATAAGACGTTGAAGAAGCCCTTGATAGCTGCGTATCTCTCCTAGAGCTCAGTTTTAGGAAGGGGTCCTTGTTTCTTCATGAGACACAGTCCTAACATGGTGACCCAAAGAACACTGGGCCATTGGCTCTGTCTTGTGGGTTTAAGAATGTTCCTGCTGTTCCCTGCACTTTAAAACAGTAAGTTAGAGGCTGGCGGGACAAGATGGCTCAGAGGGCAAAAGTGACTTCCAGGCAAACATGACATCTTGGGTTCTAGATCCAGAGCCTATAATGGAAGGAAAGAACTGCCTTCTAGAAACTATCTTCTGACCCCACATGTGCGCCCTGGAACAGGTAATGAAATTGAGGGTGTATATTTCTGAGAAGGCATTGTGAACAAAGTTTCAAGGGGAAAAAAGGCAGACTTTTAAGATTCTTAAAATTTTGTTTCTATTTTATGTGTATAAATGTTTTGTCTGCATGTATGTGT